ATGAACTGCTGTAAGATTATAATCAAACCAGGTGTATTCTTTCCATGCAAAGACTTAGGACAATGAATTGCTTTGAAATTATATCCGTTCCTTTTTCTAGTTATATCTACACATACAAAATTATTGTACACTCGGCCGTAGGCTTAACTACGTGTATAAAGCTATATAAGCTCTGGATGTCAAAGTTCTTTCTGTTTCTATCTGTACATCATCAGCTCTTGTAGTCAAAATGATGTGAATTACTTAGAATCACTTGATGTTTGTACGACAGGAAGTATAAGGTCATTTGATTGTGAACTATCAATATATTACTGAATGAGGAATCAAGTTTTTCACAAAAATTTGAAACGACGAACTGTTGTAAGATTTTTTCCCGATATTACTATATAGATTCTTTTCATAGTTAGATTTGAAACAATGAAATGTTGTAAGATTATATATATATACACTATACATTCCTTTCCTTACAAGATTTTACAACAATGAATTGCTGTACGATTTCACTCGAGATTACTATATAGATTCTTTTCATAGTTAGATTTGAAACAATGAAATGTTGTAAGATTATACATATACACTATAAATTCCTTTCCTTACAAGATTTTACAACAATGAATTGCTGTACGATTTCACTCGAGATTACGACATACTTCTTTCATTTCGAGCTTCGGAACAATGAACTGTTATAAGATTTTACTAGAGAATACTTTATATATGTTCTTTTCATTCTAAGATTTGGAACATAGAACAGTTGTAATACTTTACTCGAAATTACTATATATATGCGCCTTATGCCAAAATTTGGAAAAATAAACTTAAAACGGCTTTAGAAGCATCACTGCAAAAAAAAAGGCGGCTTTCTTCCTGTTATTGCTCTTATTGTTGTGATTTAGATATACTCATACCTAACAGAATATATTGTTTGTAATTTGAAGTTAGACTTTTGGAAATAATTATCAAAATTCATCTCCATATGTGAGTCTACTTCCTGTACCGCCAAGTGAGGGCTCCACGTTAGCGTTAAATAAATATCTTCATTTGTATTAACCCTTTTGAATTGTTGTCTAGCATTTTCAGTACAGGTTTCGTAACAACAACATTGCGATATATATATATAAAAATCATCAAATTTTAAACATGAGACTTACAAGACATTAAATCATAAACATGAAATTTATAGAATGTCAAATATTATAAGTTTATGTAAGACTTTACGTTTTAAATAATATTTTTATAGAATTTAAAATCCAAAGTTTGATATTCACAAAAAGTAAAATTTTAAACATGATATTTATAAAACGTCAATGTTTTATTAGACCAGGTTTTGAACATATTTTAAATTGGTTGTAGTGAACGCGTACATAGATGACGAATAATTAAAAGTACAGTAATAACTGTGATGATTATTTGATTTTATCTAAAGGGAGTCACAACTTACCAAAGCACTTAGCTCCAGCATCTCGCGAAAGATGTTGTTTCGTCCAAGCTTGCAGGCAAGAGTCAGTGGAGTAAGGCCACAACAATTGAGAATGTTGTCCTTGGCTGGCTTAGTTGGATGTCTTAACGCATAGCCGTACATTTTCTGTAAGGATTTATATGTACTACACCTAAGCACGATTAATAATGTATATATTAAGTGCACGAATATTCAAAACGTTCAACCGTGTCTCAAGAAAAAGTGATCACGTGCTGTATAACGTATGATTAACACACCTCCAATTCAAATTTATATCATAATTATTTTCGCGAAGACATGGTAATTATGTCGATCTAGAGATAAATATACATAGCGATGTCCTTTAAAAGCATCTTGTGATCTGCACTTAAATCTAAAAGTAAGAGGGAAATATCAGATAAGTTTATAAAGCAACATCCTTTTAGAGTAAACACAAAACAAAATCTAACTTTAATTTCTCTACATGGTGAGTCTTTTGTTTATTGGTCAGCGAAAAAAATTCCTTTCGGAAATCATCCTGTTGTTTTAATAGAATATTTGTATGATCTGTATTCCATGATAAGTGTAAGTATGATAAATATTGTCTTACGTCTCCCTTCACTTTAAAGCAGCCATGACAAATAATGACTACTGCTATATTACGACAAGGAGAGAAGAGTTATATGATAAACGACGACTTATATATGTTGAATTAATATATGTTGACAACATAGTATACACTATAAATAGAAACCACGGAAACAAAGTTACCGCTGCTGAAGAAATAAGGTCCGAATCTATTGAATCACTTGTTTTCAGGCTTAACTATTTTTTGACCCTACATAACTCTTCATTACGAAGAACGCAAGTCAACTTGAGGCATGTGGACCTAAATCAGGTCAGTATACCATCTTAACTCCTAATATAAGAATTTAAAATTACTTTCTGCTAAAGTATTGATGTGTAAACCACATTCTTGTAAAATACATTAGTGGAACTACTCTAAGTGACCAATCATATCGATACCAAACTTTCTCTACTTAAATCTACCCGTTTTTAATCCATCATTTTGCAACAGACAAAAATATTGACATCACAAAACTACTCGCCCCCTCCTATGGCCCTGCGGTATGTTTGCGGACTTACAACGATAGAAACCGGGTTTCGATACACGTGGCGGGCAGAGCACAGATAGCCCATTGTGTAGCTTTGTGCTTAACTTCAAACAAACACAAAACTACTCACATCAAACGTTAAGTTATCTAAAATATCGTTCCGGGTCATATATAATTAATACTGTTGTTCCCAGAATTTAGCACATATATTAACAGTAAAATCCAGAACTTCAACAGATTTACCCAAACGTTTGCAACCAAAACTGACATATTACTTTCTTCAGCCAAACAAGCCTTAAACTACTTACTAACTTTAATTTACCCACTTCACTTGACCTGCTATTGTATTCTACTTTAAACTAAAACTTCAAATACTTCCTTTCTCTTACCCTTGTCTTGACCTTCCAATCTCACGTTATTCTCTCGAAAACAGACTCTGTTTACAAAACATCTCACGATAGTGATTGCCAGAAAGATACAAAACAAAACAAACAATAAAACCTAGCTACTTAGACTTTCTAACAAATAAAGAATCGCACTTAAAAAGATATCTTAAAGCTGTTGAAAACTTTGACACCATACATTTGCTCTCAAAATAGCCTCAACCGAAAAGAAATTACTGATTACAGGGATCCTAGTTTTGGCAATAATACTGTAATAAAGCCAACTGACAAGGGTAACGATAATGTTATTCATAAAATAATACCAAATCACTGAAGCCCCAATTTAACAAAACCAAATTGCAAAAAAGGTACCTTTAGACTTTACAGCTTAGTTTATAGTGACAAGCTTAAAGATTGTTTCTTTACTTTTCATCACTTATGATATTTAGTGTCTGAAACCTATTTCTTAAACCTAGCTGAAATGCAACTTTTGATTCTGGAATTTTGAGCTTAACAAAATCAAAAGTTATAGACTTTTTTGCACAGTTTTATTTTTATCTTTATAACAATTAAATATCGACCAGCATTTCCTATGTCTGCGCCTCTAAGTGACCTGACATCATGCCATAAGGATCTATACCTACAGGATATGGCTATGTAGTCTATTTGATTTACAATTAAACCATCAGGGATTTTCCATATTTCTTTGTAAGTTTCTCGATGTGAAAATAATGTATCTACAATAATTAAATTATTCCTTTCTCAACATTCCACAAATAATCTGAGGTCATTATTATTCTGTGGCTCCTTGAAAACCTAGTAAGAACGACCACATTGTCAACATCACTCTAGCATTCATGTCTTCCATTAAAATTTTAATATCTTTTCCTGAAATTGCATTCAGTAGACCTTGCAGTTTTAGAAAGGACTAGCCTCTTACTACTTATTTCGAGCCTTCTGTTGGAACATAACAGACTACGAGATTAGGTTTACCATATTTTGTTAAAGCATGCAGTCAGTAATCTTAATATAGGCTCTTGTGTCAACAAACTCGTTGCTGCTCTAATGAAACAGAACAAAGCCACTCCGTGTGAATGTAGGTCATTTCGATCTCAAAATAAAACTAGTTTATTTTCAATCTTGTTCTAATATACCTACATACAGAAACACCCAGAACATCCAGATCATATCTAGATATTTGTATCACATGTTTGATTCCTTTTGCTGAAACCCAAATAGTCCGAACATTTCAGGCACAAAACTTCATAAAATGCTTTGACTCAATGCATTCATACACACTTCTCCCTCGTTTCACATTTCACCAGAACTAGGGAGTTCATGTCCATTCCCCACTCATCTATCAAAAATGCAACTACCTTCCGCAGTAGGTTTTACCTCATTAGTAATTTATGTAATTAGTAAATTTAAAGTAAGCAATGATTAGCCAACAGGACCCGAGGTCAGTTATTCCGCCAATTACTCGGCTTATGTCACTCGGAAGCGTTCAATTGATGACTGAACTTGTGTGGTACTGATGAAGCGCCGAAGTGGGTAATGGACTCGCCACATCCTTTATATCTAGTGTTGATAAATGACTGTAAATGTAGCAGAAATGATTGAAGTAGATACTCTAAATCTTACAGAATTTTAGATCTATGGTTAATAAGACAAAGCAACGAGATCTGAAGAAGATACGCCAGGCCTAACAGAAAAGTTTAAGCTTTAGAGTGAGAGACGAAGCAGAAGTACTAGTATCAGCATCTCCAGGTCTCACTTTGATTTCATCTTGTAAGTGGAATATAATAGCAATAATTATATTAGAATATCTAGTGCTCACAGAGTTTTAGTTTTTTCTACGTACATAATTCTTCAGTACTTCTAAAATGACATTTAGACTATGTTTTGGATGTACAGAACAACGCTAGAAACCGGGTTTCGATACCCATGGTAGGCAAAGCACAGATAGCCCATTATGTAGCGTTATGCTTAACTTCAAACAAACAAGCTATAGTATGTTTATATTTGATAATCACTAAAATAGTTTCTGGTTGTTTTTATACCGGTTTATCTATAGTGATCTCTATGTTTGAATATGTTTTATTCCTTGGTATATATATATATACAGATTGGTTTATTTTTGTTGATACTATTCTCTCAACTATTATAAGTATTAATTTTGGTTACATTTACTAACCAGCTTATCCCTGATGACCACTACATGGAGAATCATGTTGCCAAGTGTGTCCTGCAGATTGGGATCAGCTCCACGACGTAATAACATGTTATAGGCTGTCTCATCCTCACAACACGCCGCCCAAGCTAAGGGATACTCTCCCATGTAACACAAACCTGGGAAATGGAATGGAAAACATAGGTTTGGCTATAACAATATCTCACTACAAATAAGAAGATGAATAAAAGAAAAACACTAATGAAGTTTTTGAGAAAAAATTACGAGTGTTTACAGTTATTAATTCCGTAGTCGTGAGTTTTCACTTATTTAGTTATTTGAATAAATTGTTCTCTCTTCACTCGAAAATATCTTTATGAAAGAAATGCTCGATATAAAGCTTAAGTACACATGAAGAAAGAAAGAACTTTTAAAGTGTCAGTAAATTATTATTGCTTTTAACGAAAAAAATAAAAATAAATTTGCAAAAAATAAAGTTGTGAGTGAAATAAAAATAATAAAAATGAGGTTTTGGTTTCCATCACAATATTTCATAAGATGATAACTTTAACCACAAGTTTTCTTATGAATTATATTTATTATAGTGCACTGTATAAAACAATTGAAAGAGAACCGGAAATTGTAGTATTATAACTAAGCAAAAACAAAACCATTGTCATAATGTGGATCCTAATACGTTGGAAAATTAAAACGACGAGCAAGACTGGGATTAAGGACCATAATAGACACATAGAAGACTCGGTAATAACGATCTATCTTCAATACCCTATCATATTTGAGAAGACGATATGATAAAAATGGAAAGGATAAAATCATTTTTCTACATCCATTTAATTGATGACATACTCAGTCAACATACCATAATAAGGCAACAAAACCCCTCTTGAAAATATTCAAATAGTCATTTGTTTAAAGGTCTAATGGAGTAGGCAACAGTCGAACAGAATGTTTATCAAGAAGACTTAGAATCGAATCCTGGACACTATCAAAATAGAAATAGTTCTTCTCAGGGATTCTATAATCAGAGGATAGCAACGAAACATAATGTCTAGGTATAATAATAATTAGCATATAGTTGTAAAAATAAAATAAAACTAGTTACAAGGTGAACATAAAGTCTACTAAAACATATCAACGGTAAGCATCTGACTATAAGTCATGTGATCGGAAATGCAAAAGGATTGGGTATACATTCTATGCTCCAAATAGTAGTCTTGCACAGTTTTGTCTCAGTTGTCACTTTGAAGTGAATCACAGAGATTAAAGTTGCTCCAAATCCTTCAAGAGTCATGTCTGGACTTGAAATTGGAGAGTCATTGGACAAATGGCAGCCGACGAATCACAGCAAGTTTTGCGAACTGGCTACAAGTGTTTCAATGGGTTGTTAGTACAATGTGGAACCAGGTCCAACTTACAACATTATACATTTCGAAGAAATATTTAAGGAAACAAGTTTTATCCAACAACTTGCATGAATAACACCTGAACATTTTCGTATTCTCCAAATGCATAATACACGGCGAATAAAAAAACACATCTATATTCAAATGATTTAGGAATAAGATAAAATAAAGCTATAAAAGATATATGTTTAAGGACATTAGGTACACGAGTAACAGTAAAATCCCAACACTGAAACATTTTTCTTTGATAAGCTGTAAGAAGGAGCTGGTTATGTACCGTGTACGTTTGCATTGTTTTCAAACGTAGTTTGTTGTCCAGGTTCGCTCAAACTACTCGAGGGCTATTCGAGACAGCCCTAATTGTAATGTTGCATATAGCCCTCGATGAAATGCCTTCCCACTAGTCTGTCACTTTACAATTAGGAACCACTGTTGCATATAGCCCTCGATGAAATGCCTTCCCTCTAGTCTGTCACTTTACAATTAGGAACCACTGTCGCGAATAGCCCTCGATGAAATGCCTTCCCGCTAGCCTGTTACTTTACAAGTAGGGACCACTTTCGCGAATAGCACTCGATGAAATGCCTTCCCTCTAGTCTGTCACTTTACAATTAGGGACCACTGTTGCATATAGCCCTCGATGAAATGCCTTCCCGCTAGCCTGTCACTTTACAAGTAGGGACCACTTTCGCGAATAGCACTCGATGAATTGCCTTCACTCTAGTCTGTCACTTTGGTCCCTAATTGTAAAGTGATAGACTAGAGGGAAGGCAATCCATCAACACCGCCAACTCGCTATTGTAATCGAATAGTGGGTTTTGATCGTCACTCTTATAACGCACCCACACCATGCGGAGCGCGATGTTGTTTTTGGCGGTAACGAAGAGCGAACCACAGAAACTTGGTTCCAGTCTGGCACGCTAACAGCTGGACCACACTCGGATAACGTGAAATGTTACATGTATTACCTAAAGCATATGCCTAGGAGAGTTTCTTGTATGTGTTTAACACTAGCCCTTCATATGTATTCAAGTAAACTGCTTTGACAGGAACTTAAAACATTTTGTCAGGGGACTTAAATAACTAAATGGGTTTTCTCGGGGCACTCCCGTTTCCCCACACAACAAATTTCTCGGTATAGGGTTCATATATCCCCGCCGTCCTGATAAACGGCCGTCTGCTTCTTTCTCACTTCTAATGGCAAAGTCTGGATGTTTGATACTTCGACCTCCATAATAAGGGCGGCTTTTGCTTTGCATTCCTTGCTTCGACGTCATAACCTCTGCAATCATATAAATGGTCCTCCAATATTTATCTTAATCGTGAGGCCTGTAAACCAAAAACAATTATATATATGTATGTATACATATATGCATATATATATATTTGTATTTTATATAATTTTAACGCTGGTTTCATAAAAACCTTTCACGAGCGGGGCAAAAAAGGGATAATAATATCCCTGAATACTCCATTTGAGAAAGTTTCTTTCCTTTTCAAACTAAACACCTGCCACGAATAAAAAAAAAATAACCAAGAGTTACGAGTGCAGAATTAACAAAGAATAATAAAAATATCGTGTAGGTTGTTTATAACGCAGCAGTTACATTCTAATCACAAGAAAAGAAATCCATCAAGAATGAAAGGTCAGAAGCTCTGACTTGAACATGGCCACTGAAAGACGGAATAGGTTGTTTATAACGTAGTAGTTACATTTTGACCACAGGGAAATAAATCTGTCAAGAATAAATTATTATAATCTCTGGCTTGGACATGGCCGCTGAAAGATGGCGTGGTTTATTGTTTTATTTTATCAAGTATCGCTATATTCTAACGACATGGAAAGACATCTGACAAGTTTGTTTGTTTGTTTTAGAGCAAAGCCGCATTGAATTATCTGCTATGTCCATCGCGGGAAATCAGACCCCGAATTTTAGCGTTTATAGTCCGTAAACTTACCGCTCTCCCACCAGGAGACAATCTGACAAGAAAAGAAAGTCTGGGTTGAACATGGCCGCTGAAATGTGGCGTAGTTTATTCATAACGTACTGCTAGATTCTAACGATAGGGAAACAAATCTGACAATAATGAAATATCATACAATAACGTTGCCACTGAAAGATGCTTTAATTTGTTTGTGACGTACTTGTTGTTTTCTTACCAGAAGGAAGGGAATCTGTCAAGAATAAAAGGTCATAAGCTATCGCTTGAACATACACGCAAGAGGATTTTATAATGAGCGTAAGCTGTTGTGGGGAATACATCCTAATTATGAATGTATTTTGGTCTAAATAGCTTAGTGTTAGCGTGTACTTCTTTAAAAATGGTTAACAGTTTCGTATATAACATAACGACTCTAGATACTCAGACTTTAAACAGAAATGCTTGTCACTCACGAAGAGTTTACACCTTTTTTCTTTAAACAATCGATTCGTTTATGATCTTGTTTCTCTCGTGGTATGCTAACATTCCCTTCCCGTTATTCTTTCTTTTATATATACTAAATACGTTTATGCTTTTGCTGTTTTATAAAAACATTAGTAATTGGACAATTGAGTTTTGTACAGATTGTTCTGTCGTGGTACTTACAAATTGCAAAATAAAATCACGTGCGTGTTATCAGATTATGGTTTAGTAAACAATCCCAACCCGTTCTCCGCCTCTTGTAATTTTAGTTAGTTATTGATCCAATATATGTTCAACAGTAAACACTGGCAAATTGATATGTTTGATTGTTTGCAAATATTTTCATGCAATAATTTGCATAATTGCAGTAACAAAAATGGAAATACATGTCGACTCTGTTCCTAATACAATGTGTTTAAAGTTAATTGATAATCAAACTTGTAAAAATATTTATATATATTGGTAAAGGACTTATAAAATGACTAAAACCATTTTGCTTGCAGCATGTGAAAAAGTAAAAACATGCTTCAATATGATTCAACTGCTTGAATCATTACGTTTTGTAATTCTAAAACATGAAGTGATTTACATGACAATGTAAATATATACATATATATACAAATTACATTTCAAACGTGAAGTTTAGTCAATTTAAAACGTTATTACTAAGCAGCTCAAAGTGATTTACAGAGCACCAGAAATATATATATATTATTTTTACATCTGAAACATGAAGTACAGTAGTGAATTAAACTGTCTAAAGTAATCTAAGCGGCACCGAAAACAAATTTCCAGCTACCATTGCGAGTCAGTCCTGTATACATTAGTACTTCCAATGTCAACTAATCCTTACATATGAAACATGAAGTACAGCAGTGAATTAAACTGTCTAAAGTAATCTAAGCGGCACCGAAAACAAATTTCCAGCTACCATTGCGAGTCAGTCCTGTATACATTAGTACTTTCAATGTCAACGTAATTCCTTACATGTGAAACATGAAGTACAGCAGTGAATTAAACTGTCTAAAGTAATCTAAGCGGCACCGAAAACAAATTTCCAGCTACCATTGCGAGTCAGTCCTGTATAAATTAGTACTTTCAATGTCAACGTAATCCTTTTTTTTTAGTGCCTGGAAATTTCAGAAACTGCTTGAGATTTCGAAATTACCACATAAGCAAAGTGAGCAGTAAAATTGATAATAATAATAAAGCTAAAATTATATTCGTTATGAGAACTGATGTTTGTAACACTTCTTCTAGGAGTGGAAAATAATTCATCAAAGACGGAGAAGCTATTTATTATAAGGCAAAAAAAAGTTCATTGTTTTGATCTATTCTAGGCCTTGAATCTTGGTTATTGTAGTCTTTTCTTAATATCCTTTATGTGGTAGATTCTTGACATGATACCCTGCTGCAATCTGTCATATAACTCGTATAATTATCTATTTTGTAGAGTCTGCTTGATATCTTGGTGCAACATGTCACGTAATGTGTGTATTTATCGAGTTCGTAAGTTGTTTTCTTGATACCTTGTTGTAACCTGCCACATAATTCACGTATTTATCTTGTGCGTATATTTTATACTTGATTCCCTGCTGCAACCGGTCACGTAACGTGTATTTGTTTACATTTTAGAGTTTTTACTTTATCTCTTCTGCAACCGGGCAAGCAACACAAGTATTTACCTATTTTGATAAGTATTTACTTGTATTTGTATTTTGTATTTATGGCAATGTAACTAAGCCTATCAGCCGTCGTCCATAATATTGAACTGGAGACCCGAGAGAAGGCAGACGATCAATGGCAATCTACTACTCAACGTCCTCGTCAAGGGATTGACTGTCACTCTTACAATGCATTAACATCTTAAGGTTTCGGGGAATATCTTGTGGTATCGATACAGAGTCCCTCTATAGGGCCAACAATCTCCCTGGTCTATATTTGATAATTTGCTACAATATGTTGAGTAATTCATGTATATATATATTTTCTGAAGTGTTCTGTACTTTTTGCATTTTGAGGATTTATTTTCTATGAATACCACTATATCATGAACTTTTGTAGAGAAACCTTTAGGGAAATATGGGAGCAAAAACTGTGGTTCGTCAGTCTGTTTCAGTTTGTCTTGTGATTCTGTACTGAAGTAAGTATTGATCCAGTGTTCTTGAACGTAAGAAAGGTAATAAATTGCATGTCATATTAATTACCTTCTGGTTGGCACGTTAGTTTTGTGGGAAATTGCTTTTTTTAGGAATAAGTTTTGATGTAGTTGTAATATTTGCTGTATTAGATTTGATTATTTCTTTTAACTAACTTGCTCAGAAAATTTATCTGCCTTTGCTACGTGTACTGATTGATCGTTTTTTTCCCTTTTTTGTCACCTAAAGAACAAATAATTTATATTCTATGATCCAAAACTACGAAACGTTTCATTAATAGCTAAAGATTTGATGAGTTTAAGTTCAGTCCGAAAAGAAATTAAAATATGTTACTAAAATAACAGATTGCTAACTTCGAAGAATTCAAAGAAAGGTAAATCTGTCTCCAGATTAAAAAAAAAAGATTTTGAGGCTGAATTACTAACAAATAGAGGACTGAAATCAAATATATTATATCGGGTAATCAAAATACCAACAACATTTAAAGTCAGAAATGTTATGTCTATAAATATAAACTGTATAAGTTAAAAATACTGTGACTAATAGTGTGAACTATATAGATTATAGATATTGTGACTATGAATATGAGCAATACAGGTGACATACATCATGTTATAAGTATTGACTTTGCACATTAGGAACATCGTGATTCAGGCAACATACTTTTTTCTATTATGTTGTAGTCTAACTTTGAAAATATCTATCCGGAATAAATAATTTTAAGGATTTTAAGGTACTTTTCTGTGTTCAAAGATCCTAGCCAACCTAAGGAAGTTTGTTTTAATGATTTCAAGATAAATTAAGGTAAAAATATTGAACAAGCTATAAATATAAGAACGGTATATTCTCACCTTATAATTTTATCAACAAGTAGAACTGTTCTTATCATGGTTCAGAGTAATAAGTTCTGAAATGTATATTCTCAAAACCAGTATTCTAATGGCACGCTTCGTTTTAGAGAAAAACACTCAAAGACGAAAATTTAATTATCTCTGCAGCAAAGATTAGCGGAAGTATTTACTTACAACCCCAAAGAAAAGAGATAAAATACTAGCTTTGTAGAAAAGTTGGTTCTCTGTATATTCAACAAGAAAAAAGAGAAACTCTACTAGATATACGGAAAATTTGGTTATTAGTATATCCAAGAAGAGAAGAGAGAAACTCTACTAGAGACATATGAAAATATAGCTACCTACAATCCATGAAGAAAAGAGAAAAACTCTACTAGATAAGTGGGAAAGTAGATTACTTGTACATCCAAAAACGCAAGAGAAAAAGTCTACTAGATACGTAGAAAATTAGTTTTTGTACATCTGAGATGAGAAGAAAAAAGATCTATAGATAAGTGGAAAAAAATGGTTATCTGTACATCCCAGTAGAAAAGAGAAAACTACTAGATACGTGGAAAGTTTGTTGTCTGTACATCCAGGGAGAAGAAAAAAATGTCTTCTAGATAAATGGGAAAATTTGTTGTCTGTACATCCAAAATTCTACTAGAAACGTTAGCTACATATACATACAAGAAGAGAAAATCTCACCTAGATACGTGGAAAGTTTGTTGTCTGTACATCCAGGGAGAAGAAAAAATGTCTTCTAGATAAATGGGAAAATTTGTTGTCTGTACATCCAAAACTCTACTAGAAACGTCAGCTACATGTACATACAAAAAGAGAAAATCTCACCTAGATACGTGGAAAGTTTGTTGTCTGTTTTTGTATGTACATGTAGCTGACGTTTCTAGTAGAGTTTTGGATGTAGAGAAAATCTCACCTAGATACGTAGAAAGTTTGTTGTCTGTACATCCAAAACTCTACTAGAAACGTCAGCTACATGTACATACAAAAAGAGAAAATCCTACCTAGATACGTATACAAGTTGATAACCGTCTTTATTTAGTCAATGTGACCAGCTTTGAACTATGGAATGACGTGATCAGTATACCAAAGTTCGTTACATTGGCTTTACCCTGCCTAAAAGCTTTCATTTTTGTTTTATTATTTTATTTGGAAACAAATTACGCTGCTGAGCATAAACACTAAAATTTTTGACATAATACTATGTGTTAACTTGTAAGATATTGGGGCTATTTGGCGAAAAATGGTTATAATCTGCTAGACATCGTGTTTTATAACTTTGAAGTGAAGTAAAAAACACAATTACGCAAAACATACACGCTTGGCGGTTGGGTTTTGTTGCTTAACTCGTGACTACATTTTCACGGAAATACAAAACGCCACCTTACCTTCGAAATCTGTCTGCTTTTTAGGAGATGGTCGCTGTTGATCGTACGGCATGAAAAATCGTCCTGTAGCTCTTTGATTGATATTAGCGCCACCTTCGACGCTCAGGAGAACTAAATCCCAAATGTTGTACGCTATACTTAAATGTAAGGCACTAGCTCCTGAAAAAAAAGACACATAAACACAAATAATCAGTATTTAGGTGTATTTTTCTAAACTTGTCACTTGTGAGTATTAATACAAAAATGTTGAGCAAAATACATGTGACAGAAACAAAAATTGTTTTATTTCATCTTTAGCACATTATGGTACGAATTTCTCAAAATTCCAACAGTTATTTAAATATTACCCCTTATTCTTGAGAATGATATTCTTCTGCTGAAAATGAGAGATTGATATTTATTTAAGATATCAATGTGCATGTGCAAACTATCCAAGGTAACATATTTAAAAAATAGCAAATAATCTTCAACAACGTAAGTATTGTATAAAAAGATATTTTAATGTGTACAGATGCCAGATGGTGTTGGAAAAAGAATGGGGTTTTCAATTACTAATATTTTAATGTGTACAGATGCCAGATGGTGTTTGAAAAAAATGGGTTTTCAATTACTACTATTTTAATGTGTACAGATGCCAGATGGTGTTTGAAAAAAAATGAGTTTTCAATTACTACTATTTTAATGTGTACAGATGCCAGATGGTGTTTGAAAAAGAAGGGGTTTTCAATTACTAGTATTTTAATGTGTACAGATGCCATATGGTGTTGGAAAAAGAAGGGGTTTTCAATTACTACTATTTTAATGTATACAGATGCCAGATGATGTTGGAAAAAGAAGGGGTTTTCAATTACTATTATTTTAATGTGTACAGATGCCAGATGGTGTTGGAAAAAGAAGGGGTTTTCAATTACTAGTATTTAAAATAGTAGTAATTGAAAACCCATTCTTTTTCAAACACCATCTGGCATCTGTACACATTAAAATAATAGTAATTGAAAACTCATTCTTTTTCCAACACCATCTGGCATCTGTACACATAACTCGAGTTTTAAACAAGTTATTTTTATTTGTTGTAAAAAACAGAATAAATCGAGCTTACCAAAATATTCTTCTCCTTCTATGATATCCCAGGCTAGATGAGGATATATTTTGAGAAGAACACGTGCGATACGCGCGTGCATTGATGTGTTGCACATGATGAGCACATGCAGCAAGCTTTCTCCCAACATTCCACGAAACTCAAGTTTCCAACAAATACGCCTTTCTTCAGGGTTAACGTTAGCCAGACGGGAAGCACTAGACATCAGAGAGTCCACTGGTATGGCCACCTAGAAAAACCGAGCGACTCGTTAAAAATTGGGAGTACAGAAAGATCGATATAAATCGCGTAAATCTATTCCACAGATATAGAGTGAATTAAATGGTGAAACAGAATGAAAGTTATTCGTAAATTCAAAAACTATTACAATATTTTAAGTTATTTGAGATGTCCAGAATGCCCACTAACCATCTTGGCTTTGTATAGGTGTACCAGCCTCTGGTCAACCTCCTTCCAAGAAAAATCTTAGCATGTTTAACAACTTTCTGTGAAAAACAATATCTGTAAAGAGAAGTTTCAGGATTGTCAACAACCATCTAAAAAAACCCTATTTGGAAAGGGAATTTTCAGTATTGCTAACACCCCTATCTGGAAATGTAAATTTCAGAATTGTTAACAGCTCTGCGGGTCTAGGAACGTCTTTGCCTGGAAAGGAAAGTTTCAACTTTAGCTAACAGTTCTCAATGTTTGATCACTTACCAAAGGAAACATTCTATTATATTTCATAGAGATATAATACTTGCAAATTTAAGTTATTTTTCCTTTATATACAAAGTCATCTATTCACAAATATCTACTTTTCAAAGTCAGTCATTTCATTTTAAAGTTTGTCACTTCTAAGTTTAAAACTTCAATCACGCAATGTATGCATTTCCAAAGGAAAATTATTCGATGCTGACGTCAGACACTGGAGTTACTTAAAAAGCTGACGTATATAATGAATCAGAAACGATAGTTGATTATAGATTTATAGATGCATTAATTTTAATTCAGCATGAGACACAAAGATTTGAAACATAAAGCACGCAACAATGCTTGTTCTTTACGTTTTAAAGATTAATTCTGTCTGACGTCATAATCTCTTGGTGAGCGGAATTTCGAGCGGTATTTGGAAACAAGTCTCTTATTGCACTATATTATCATTCAAAGTAAAAGGTCTCAGAATAGAATAATACTCCAGCTACTGCCTTAATAGCTCCGTGACCAGCGGCATTCAGTTATTTACTTACACTTAACCAGTAATAAGCTAATTTAGGAATACTATTTAGAAACATCATTTAGGATCTGTAGGACAGTAGGAGTATACACCTTTGTCAGTCAGTCCAGAGAACCTTCCTTCTAGACTTTACAGTGTAAGCATTGAAACACGATCAAGAATAATCCTACTTAATACGTCGAAAACTAAAAAATAGCAAACTAAAAATGACTTTCAGAATGTTAATATAAAGCGCTTTAGTCAAATTATTCATAATTTTTGTTCTTCAAATGTGGCCAACGCGAATTATATAACATTTAAAAATGAAGAGAGAAGTTTT